TGTGTGTGTGTGTGTGTGTGTGTGTGTGTGTGTGTGTGTGTGTGTGCAGGTTCTACTTTAAGAAAGTGAGCGACGAGTTTGACTGTGGTGTGGTGTTCGAGGAGGTTCGTGACGATGACGCCATCCTGCCCATCTTCGAGGAGAAGATCATCGGGAAGGTGGAGAAGGTTGACTGAAATTTGGGAACAGGAAGATGACACAGAATTGGGGTGGGGGGGGGGGAATGGATCATTTGAAAAAATAACAAAAGGAGATAGGAAGAGAACATTGGGGTTTGGTGAGAAAAACGGAATGAAAGAAAGTAGAAGGATGGAGGGAGCCATGTGTGACAGAAGGGAGATTGCCGGAGTGTAAAGGAGGTTATTTCTATGGACTGTCTGGATGTCGGCGTCATGCCCGGATCAAACCCACGTAAAGCGAAGAAGCTCGGCCGTAAGGAAATAAGGAAAGGAATATAAATTATTTCACCTGTCTTGTCTCCACTGTGGATATTCGAGGAGCGCTGTTGAAATCTGACGTCTGACGAGTCTTCCACTTCCACTGCGACGGATGGGGAAAAGGGTGAGGGGACTGCTGGAAGGGAGAAGATGAAGTAGTCTTCCACTTCTGCTCCGGGGGGGGTGTCCTCCGCAGACCATTACGATGCTGCTACATTACCACGGAAACTCTTCAATCGGTGCTCGGGACAGTAAAGAGAGCGGCGGCAGCGGTCCGTTCGGGAGTCTTGCTGCCGTTTGCTGTCTCTTTTCCTCAGCTGGTGACAAGGGGGGGGAGAGGACGGAGGAACTTTTTAGCCTGCTTCTCCTCTCGTTTGACTTCATAGCCTCCAAACAGAAACGTTCTCACCCTTGATTCCTAGATGTCATGTAGTGATCTCTCACATCAACATGTTCAGACAACAGTTCTCTACATAACTTGTTTACCAAAGCTACATATTTTTGATAAGTCAAGTATCCTAGCTACTTGTTTCATTTTATTTGAATTGTGTATGTACAAGGCAGGTACTATTACTTATTAATGCAGCCGTATTTCGTTATATCTCAACTTAATGTTGTATTATTGTGTATGTTTTGAAGCTAGTTCATTAGTGATTTCAGGGCAGCCATTTTGTTTGTTTTTCCATCTCTATAATACATCCTTGCACCTCACTTCTGTACTGTTAACCTGCGAGTGTGTAGTTCTGTTTTGCTGCGCGATGCTTTTTTTAATTCTAGGCTTCTTTTTTTTTTTTGTTCACCCACAGCAACTCTCATGAAAAAGAGCAGCGCACACTTACGGTGTGCCACCTTCGACCACAGTATCTGTTGTTTTTAACAGGTCACACTGTCGCCTCATCTCTGTGTTTCTGCTCCACTGGGTATGTAACTCTGTACTCGGTATAGGTGCCTGCCTGCCCGCCCGGCCAGTGCCATTTACGATCTAGAATGCTTATTCTGAAGCGAGTGTGAAAGCCCGTGTCATGTCTGCCTGAACTCAGCCAAAGAGCATACCGTGCGTCCCGTACGCCTTCATGCGTATGTCTGTCCGTGCAGTCCGAGTCCACGAGCATCAAATGTGTTCTTAAATCACGAGCAGATGGGGAATCTTCTCCCTCTTGCAGATTCCCAAACGTCAAGACGTTGTAGCTCAACACTGAGTTAAACATCTGCAGCTCATCTTAAAAGAACAGTTTGACAATTGAGCAATTATTTCCCACTGAACACCACTTTCATGTCTGTTTGGCAAATTTAGAGCTTCAGGCTGCAGTTGGTTAGCTTAGCATAAAGACTGGAAATAAGGGCAAATGGCTAGGTTTGGCTTATTGCTTTTAATACAGATTTAATCTGCAAATATATTTTTGCGATTAAGCTATTGGTCTTCCTATCACATATTTTTTTTTTTTTTTTTAAACAATCACTTGTTTTGTCCGACCAATAGTTCAAAATCAAGATATGCGGTTTACTGTCAGGTGGGATAAATCTGCACAATTTAGAACCTGACCAAAATAGCAACTAGTTAATTTTTGGCCAATTATTTGACTAATTCTTAGCTGTAAATCCAACTAAACACAACCTGTTAACTAGTTGAGCCTTAAAGGTGCTTCTGTTTTGTTGTTTTGGACAGAGCCAGGCTAGCCATTTCCCTCAGTTTCCTTTCTTTATGCTAAGCTAAGCTAACCGGCTGCTGACTGTAGCTTCACATGAGAAGGGTATCAGTCCAACACTCGGAAAGAAATAAAAAAAAAAAAATAGCGTATTTTCCCAAATGTCAAAACTACTCCTTCAAACCTCTCACATCAGCACAGTACTGCAGTCGAGGACGTCACGAAGCACCGTGCAGAGAGTGCACTTATCACACACCAGCTGTGGAAGCTGAATGTAATTTGACTTTTTTTAAACTTTTACCTGCTATGTCCTCAAAGGAAACCCCTCGTTCGGTCCTGTAATCATGTCGAGTCTTCAGTATTGATCTCAAGCTGTTGGCTTGACTGAGTGTTTTGTGTTATCTATGCTGGTAGTTCATTGAATGTGTTCATGAGGCCCTACTGTACGTCTTGCAGGAATGTCAAATACAATTTGTCCTGGGCTTCGGCCCGGTAAGGGAAACGTAGGATCGGAAAAAAACACGTGTCCTCACTTCAACCCATTATGCCTTCAATATGAAATTTAAAATTTAGATATGTATTTGTTTATAAAAAAAAGTGTAATTTTAATAATCACCAATCATGTTCTTTATAAGGAATGTTTTCCTGATGAGTTGAATTATCTATTTTGTTTTAATGTTTATGTGCGAACTGCTATGGCCCTCACGTATATTTTATCTGTTTTGTTAGAACGCCCAGGGACAGTTGAATGACGACATTTGTTAAAGAGTTGTTTCTTGTGATTATGGATTGGATGGACAAAACAAACGACTGCGTCTGTTGTGTTGTCAGTTTGTGTGAAACACAGTGCCTTTATCATGTTATCTTTCAAAAAATATCTTTATTGAACCAATCCATGCTTTTATTGTTAAAAGTTTTGATTTCCCGTCAGTCCCGTTGTATTATTTAGCTGCAGTCATGCTTGCTCACTTCTGTTCTGATAGATCCTCTGCTGTAAATATGTACATTATCATTTCATATGTCTTCAGACCCGCACCACATGTCCATGGTGTTTCTGTTTTTCGAAGGTAAACGCCAAGATGTCACTGTGCTGGTTCCACTTGTACATTTCTTTTAAAAAGGTACTTCATAATAAAGATGTTAAATAAATCATTCATCTCCTTTTCTTTGATATTTGTTCACTTAACTTTCCTTATTCACGTACATTACTTTCTTTAATAATACGGCACATTGTGGCATTTTAAATGCCATAGGTCGTTTCCACAGCAGATATTTCGACTTTTCCATTTTGAAGAAGCACAGGTGTTACTAATAACATTAACAACGACTCCGGTCTATTTAGGTTTGCCAACAAGCACAACACCAGGACCTTGAAACCGAAGCAGCTAAATGGAATTCAGCCATCATTCATTTTATTATTTACATCTGTGCTTTTACTGTGACATGTCTTCAATTAAAAGAGGCCTATTTCTTCACTGTGCTGTTGAAGGAGGAAGTATTTTCCATCAATCTATAAATACTCAAGAACTGTGTTTAAGTACAGTTTAGAGGTTCTTGTAGTATTTCTATTCTGCTACATTCTACTTCACTACAATTCAGATTTTATTACATTACATTGACAGCAGTTACTTTGCAGATAAAGATTTCTTAAAACAAATGTGATCAATTAATACAATTTGATAAATTGTAGATTATTTAAACAATGTATATAAAGTACATAGGCTTTAAATTGAGAAATTACATACATTTACATGTGACATACAAATGTTAATTCCTTATTTTTTATGTAATGAGTTTTATTTTTGATACTTTAAATATATTTTGTTGTTAACATTGTTATAATTTTTAAGTAAAACTTTGAAGGCAGGACTTTTAATGTAATCTAATATCAAGATGTTTGCAGATGTTAACCTAAATGTCACTGTGTGATAGAAAGTAGACACAGGAGAAGTTAACAAAGTTGTTGGTATTTACTCGGTAATATAAATTTTCAGCTGTAATTGTATTATATTTTATTAAAATGTGTGTGTGACCATATTAATCTGTTTGAAAACTATAAAAGAAACCCTTAAAAATGCGTCTGTGGTAGACAATTCAGAAACCTGTGTACTTGGACTCCACCTTGTGGATTCTATTTTTTCTTCTGCTGTAAAAACGTATCTTCAACGTGAGTTCAAAGTTGAAATATGACGCCATCACGTACGCAGTGACGCACTAGATGAAACATTTGGAGGAGGCATTGTTTTGTAATCAAGTTTGTTTCAATATTTTTTAAATAAATTAACACAGTCGGCTGACCCGAGAGAACTTCAGCACGCGAATAATCTTTTTATTTTAGTTATTTTTATTAACACCCGGCGAATTTTGTGAACCCGGAAGGAGCACACAAGCTGCTAGTTAGCTATTGTTAAGCTAGCATGTTAGCTTACTGACAGCTTTAGTCGGCGGTGGTGTGCATGGTGAGCATACTATGGAGCCGTTAAGCATAGTTGCGGATGAAGTGGCTTTGGAGGGACTGGACGGAATAACTATTCCCTCGCTGTGGATACGACTGGCCGACATAAAGCCTGCGTTCCCCCTCAAGCTCGACGACTGCACCAAGGAGTTCATCTGGAAGTCACTCCTCAGCAACAGCGACCTGAAGTTCTATCAACTCCCCAAGGAGAGAGACGACGTGGTGCTGTATGACAGGTGAGTTCATCGTTCACGGAAGGCTCAAACACAATTGTTTAATCAACTAATTAACGGTATATGATATTTACCTCATTCAGTGTCCTGGTTATTCACAGACCACACTGTAAACATGACCGTGAGACTATTTCCTTCTGGAAAACCACTCAGTTATCAGTTTATGAGATCCATTCAGCTAAAATACATGGAGTCTAATGCAACGAATCAGACCTCAATAAAGGTTATACTGTTAGTTAATGTTATTGGTCATTTGTAGACTGCAGTTTGTGCTGCTCTTGAATTGTACTTAGAGGTGTTTCTATTATTTTGTCGACCCTCATGTGAATGACCACAATCACTTCTCAGTAACTGAGTGTAGTTCCCCCAAAAACTTAAAAAATATTGTGGGAAAAGAGTTTTTTTTTAATTATTTTTTTTAGATATGCTGTATATAGTACTTCATTCGATAGTTCCAATTCAAGTTTAATAAATGCATAAAGTACTTTGCAGGATATGTATGTTCCACCTGAGGCTTTCTTTAAGAGTTTCAATGCCCCGATGCAGATGTTGTGTTTCCGTGCATGTGCGCGTTTCTTCAGGTTTAAAGGCATCGACCCAGACACGGGCATTGAAACGGCACAGAAGTTTTCTGAGGCGCGGAAAGAGGTCTACCCGATCCATATTACTGTGGAGAACAAGGATGGGATACAGGGCTCGTGTGCACTCTTCAAGGAGAGGACAGATGTCACTCAGCACGTCCGCTCCAAGTCCCTCACCCCTTTACTCAACCTGCAGGAGGCTTTGGAAAGGTTTGTAGAGTTAGAGTATACAGACGTGTTCAACACAAGTTAATTACATTTTAGTGGAACTGTACATTTGTCTCATTCCCCCCCCACCTTCTGTCTCACCCGTCCCTCCTCAGATATGGCCGAAAGCTCGTTGTCGTGGCGTCTCAGGCGCTGCGATTCAGAACCCTGATTGGCATCGACAGCGATCCCGATTTGAAGCTGAACGACGACTCTTTCTGTGTGTTGGAGCGAGTGGGCCGAGCTCGATTGCAGGGAGAGCTACAGAGGGATCTGCACGGATGCGCTTTCAAGTAGGAGGCTCTCATTTAGCACAGCATCGCTGCAGCTTAGACGTTCACCTTGTAACAGCCAGCGTTGTGTTTCGACAGGATCGATGCCCGGAAGTTGCACTACATGAGGAAGGCTCTCGTCAAATACGGACTCATCACCATGCAGTCTCACGTCACACGAGTGAATACGGGACAACAGCAGCACTCCATTCTTCTGCTGCTCAAACGCTTCCATGTGAACAGGTCTGTGTCGCAACACTGCTCTGCTGTTGTGCACCAATAGAGAAGTGATAGCCTGCTCTCTCCCTCTTGTAATCCTCTAGTGTTGAATGCATCTTTTCTCTGCCATAGCTACTCAAGTCTTTACAATACTGAAAATATTAAGAGGGAACAAAGCCGATGTTTGTGCCACTACATATGTGACATTAAGATTTAGGAGCACCTTTAGTCTGAAGCCTCTGTCCCCCCCCCCCCCCCCGTCTTTGTTTCTCCCCGTAACCCTCTCTGCTCTTTCAGGAGGACGAAGTACGACATACTGATGGAGTACGTGTCCAACATTCTGCTGCAGTCACCCGGACAGTTCGCCACTTTGCTGACTCTCAAAGAACACCTTTCTGTGAGTATCTCTCTGCGAGTGTCCGTCGGTCTGTGTGTGTGTGTGTTCGTCTCACTCTGTTTGCGGTAATAACTGTGTGTTTTCTCGCAGAACGTGAATGACAGTAGCTTTAAGCGCTTGTTTCAATACATGCGATCGGCCAAGTTGGTTGAGTACTGCCAGTACCCTCTGGAGGACTTGGATCCCGACGCCGGGCCCTGCACCAACAAAAAAGGTAACGCGCCACCGAATCACCAGTATGAGCACGTGATAGTGTATGTGTTCGTTGCACACATCTGTTTGATAACAATAGACATAGATACAGTATGCCATCACAATATCAGATATAAAGTCGATGCCCAGGTGAGAAATTGCATTTTTTATGTTCCATTTACAAAGTTGCAGCTTCTTTTATTGCCTTAAATACTTTGATGTATTGGATTCAGCTTTAATGATTCGTCTTAAAACGCTAAATGAAGTTGAGAATTTGAAATGTACTAATGCACTGCATCCTTTCACTTTGTTCTCCAGGGAATAAAGTGCTTGTGCGCTGTTTGAGGCTGTTGAAGCCGTACACCAAGAAGGGTGTCACTGAGGATGACGACGATGACGACGAGGACGAAGATTACGACAACAGAGCTCTCCCTTCAGAGGGGCGCGTCATGGAGAAGGACGTCCTGTCACAGGCCTATCACATTGGTACGTTGGATTACTTTGATGTCTGAGAGCTTACTCGTGTCTGAGCCAGCTCCCAAGTCGCTTTCAAATCATGACGGCAGATTCCAGAAAACTTCCAACAGTCTGAATCAAGCCTCGCATTAAGGCTGCAGAAGGTTAAATACACACACGGAGAGCTGTTTAATGTTTTTCTTCCACCTTCTTACCAGCAGTGTAATAAATGTGCCACTTAATTGTCTTATGCACAGAATAATGCACAAGGACTTTTAATATCCAGGGTCTTTTTTGGGCAAAATGCTTTACACACCACATGTGAGCAAATAGGAAGTAACTACCAACTTAAAGTCGTTCTATGCTCTATTTTTCTTTATAAAACAGGCAGCCAGATCATCTAATAAACAAGGCTACTGACGAGAAAATGTATTCACGCTGGTGATTTATTGGGGCTTCAACAGGAAAAACTAAAGTTTAAAAATCCATCAGTGATGAAACCTTTGAGACAATTGAGGATATCCTTCTTTGTTGATGTCATTAGTCTTCAGCACTGATCCTCTTTGAACCACACGTCAAATGTTGTTCTCCCTCAACCTCCGTCAGCACTTCACCCTCAAATCTATTGTTTCTATTCAGATCCCAAGTTCAAGAGGACGGCGATAACGCAGCAAATACATACATGCCACATCGTCCGAGAAATGATTGATTGCACTTTAATTCTCTAAAAATAACTTACTTTGCAAATCCCTTGTCTTTTTTGTTGTAATGCAGTGTTGTCCTGCGGTACAAAGGGAATCACCCAGCGGGATATCGGGATAAGAATGAATGTCGGTAAGCTGGAAGCTCGTATGATTTGCCGAAGGCTGGAGAGGGACGCTGTGATTAAGGTAAGGCCTACATTGTTAATACAATGTTTCCCATATAGAGAGGTTCTTAAATAAATTGCTGTTTTTTTTCTATGTATTACTTCTTCTGTTCAAAAACTGCTTAAAGTAAAGTTTAAACAAAGTCTAAGAATAATTAATGTGCAGTTCGAGATATTGTAAAAAACATATCTTACATAACAGGAAGTTAGCTTGTGAATGCAATCACGTTGGCAGCCGACTCTCAATTGTCGGATGTGTTTGGGCTTCCCGCCCATGTGACCTCCAGCAGAGGTCCACCGCCACAAAGAACACCCGGACTCTCAGTATGTCTGACGTTCCATGTGCAGCAAGCATTTTGTCCAAATGTCAGTTTTAGGAGAACCGTATTTCTGTAAGTTACGCTGAAGCATTTTGACGCTATGCAACTTGTGTTATAGTGGAATGTGGAGAAATCAGAAAACTATGCAGTGTCATGTTTGCACACGTGCAGTGGCTTGCTAACACATATCTAGCTTTAGCTCTCAAAGCTGCTTAAGGCATTTAGTTAGCATTTCAGCCCTTAGTTGCACATTGTGGTGCCGATTGTTTTCCCCTCCGGTGAGCAAGTTTGTACAGTATGAATTGCCCTCTTTTGCTCTGGTGAACATCAACATGGTAGCATCAACATTGTGAGCGTATAACCATAGCGTTAGCATTTAGCTTATTGCACTGCTATGCCTAAGTACAGCCTGACAGACCAGCTAGATGTAGACAATTAATCTTCTTTATACAGCGTCAGCAAATCACCCCGATGCTGTAATTTACCACGCTGGACTGTTTTATATGTTAAGTCTTCTCCTTCCTTGGATGAGGTGGACACATTATGGGAAACACTCTTCATTATAATGTGGTCCAGTACAGCCTCAATTAACACAAAAACTGAGCTTTTTAAGTAATGTAGCATTAATTCTATTCCATATTGTGTCACATTGTGCGGTGTTGTCATGTTTTGTTGAATCGTTTTAATGTGTGTGATGTCTTTCCCCCTGCAGGGATTCATGGTAGATGCGGGTCGGCAGAGGACTACAAGATTCATCAGCCACAAGTGTGTATCTATAAACAAGTGCAGATTTCTAAATTCTAATATTTAACACCGCATCATATCAAATACTGTTGTTCCGCTCACTTCTCTTGACAGGTGTGTTGGTGTGAGTAATCAACTCCAACGGGTTGCTAAAGAGCAGGAGCGGAAGAAGCTTCTTTACTCGGCACCGCAGACATCGGATGCAGAACGGCCCGCCCCTAAAACACCGTCAACCTCTAAGTCGACGGCGACGGAAAACGCCAAACCCCGTGCGGCAAAGAAGATTCAGAAAGCAGCAGGCGGAGGAGGAAACGAGGATGCGAAGGAAGACGGGTGGAACTGTGGTGATGGAGAAGTGGAGAGAGCAGATGAAGGCTTGGATGGAGAGGGAGGAAAGTCAGGAGCTAAAAAAAAGACGGCAGGAGGGAAAAGCAGTATGAAAACTAATCAGACACAAACTGAGATCTCCATCGTGCAAATTTCACTGGTTAAATGTGAGTTTAACCTTTCACAACAGATACACAGACAAATACAAGGAAGACGAAATTCACATCCTGACTGCGACCCGTGATAACCAAAGTATTTGTTAAACAGGCAGCTAGAGCTCTTCATCCCACTTCTTTATGTTCTGTCATCACTCAGGTGAAAGTCCAGCCAGCAGCGAATGCACGACCAGCACGACACCGGACTCAGAGTCCACTCCCAGAGCAGGTAGTTTGCAGAATTGCACGTTATATGTGTGTTTACCTTTTTGTTCTGTTCAATCATATTTAATTCTCTTTTTTTTTTTCTTTTTTTTTTTAAGAACAAGCTAGAGTTAAGGAGGAAGAATCCGTCTCCAGTCCTGGCAGCCCCTTACCTGAGAGTGAGGAATTGATTGCAGCCGATAACCCGGTGGACAACAACATTGTGGACAACAACATTGTGGACAACAACATTGTGGACAACAACATTGTGGTTGTTAATAATAAAGGTGTTTGCAAGCCGCAGGTCAGTGTGACGGGTCGCTTTCCTCACTGTTTTGTTCCAGCAGTTTGACATCAGTAGATGAGTGTTGGAAGTTAACAGTTGGATCCTCTTCCTGCAGGCTCGTAAAAAATCCAGGTGGTCTTCGGCGAGGTCTCATGAGACGTACCGCCTGCTGAGGAGGAGGAACCTGATCATTGAGGCGGTCCGCAGCTTCAGAATCATCGAGGGTCTTTTCCCGTCAGTTTGACTTAAATGCTATCATTTAAACCCATAGGTTTTTGTTGGGGTTGTATGAGGTACTTATTCATAGTCGGTGTATTATCTACAGTAGATGACGGTCGGTACGCCCCCCCCAGTTTGGAGAAATGGACAGGAGTACCAGCAAAACATATTTCAGCCACCTGAAAGAAAAGCTACCCTTAAAAAAAATCAATATCAGTTTAGTAATAAGCTACACTTAGATGATGTTTATCTTGCCTTCAGACAGCACTTTCCGTGGGTGACTCAAGCTGTTATCTGTGCTTTCTTTAAAGCTAAAAACAGTAATTTCACCTCGCAGAACATGTGAGTTGCTGGCCTCGATCTGTTCGTTTGTTTGTGGTATTGAGTGACTTTAAAGGGGTATTACTTTGGATTCAAGTCATACAATACACAGACAAACTAACCCATCGAGGCAGCGGTAGACCAGACACTTCTATGTTCTGCGAGGTAAAAGTACCGTTTCTTTCTGTGCTGATACTCTTGTCTGTCTCTCTCCAAACTGGGGGCGTGCTGACCGCCTTCTGCTGTCGGTAACACACTGACTATGGATAACCACCTCCTACAACCCCACTCCAATACATCTGAACTATCCCTTTCATTTCAAAGCATTTTGTTGCCCAGTAAGAGGGAAGAGAAATGTCAACACGCTGTCTTTCTCCAGGCTGCAGAGGATTATAAATGACGAAGAGAAGCTGGATGGAAGGATCTCAAAGTGTTGTAGGAAGACTATCTTACGTCTCGTAGACAACCTGTCTAGAGAAGGCTTACTTAAGGTATACAAGACCACCATCATACAGGATGGGATCACCAAGAAGGTAAAAGCACACATCACACCTCGATAATTAGTCAGCACAAAAGCATAAAAGCACACTCGTATAACAAATGTACCACTTACACCTCCTCTCTCTGTCTGCTGTTCTTCTTGCAGCTTGAGATGGTCGTTCATCCGTCCATTCAGCCCAACGATGACATAGTGAGCCGAGTCATTGAACAGGTCCGCTTCAAAATCTCCAGCTCTTACTCGGCTTTAAGGTGAGCACAAAACAAATACGTCATTGAGGAATGGGGTATGTGTGGTTCTCGCTGTGCAATTCCTTTGACTGTACTTGATTTTGTCAGTGTCTCAGTCTAAATGTTCTGCCTACTCGATCCCGTCTTGTGTCCTGTTTCACGATCAAGCCTCTGTTCAGCTGTCTTCCCCTCCGTCACTCTGGTCTCTGTCCCTCAGGCTGCAGCACGCTGAAGAGAAAGCCAGAGAACAAGCCAAAGGGTCCGAGGATCCGAGCGGCAGCACGTCCAAAGACCAAAAGAGAGAGAAGAGACAATCCGACGAGTTCAAGCCCACAACAGGTTCTGTTTCACGGCGTATTAGAAGAGCAGCGAAATGGGAGGAGATGCTTTGGTCGGCATTGGGTCTGGAGGTCTGTTCTTCTGGGTCCAGTTCATTTCAGGGGCCAGTTAAAGAGAGAACTTTTGATTTCTTTTTTTATTCACAGTTGGGGGAAAAATACTTTTCGATCCTGCGACTTCACCCACTTTGCTGCTCTAATTAAGTGTCTTTTAGACTGAATATATCAAGGCCTGGAATTTCATCATTTTAGGGCCACGGCCAATTTGAGGGCACAAAGGCCAAATGTCAGAGCAGTCAGTCCATCACATAAAACAGTTTAAGAAATATTTAATCTCTTTTAAACCTCTTCTTTTCTTTAGTTCGGGGTTTGGGGAAGACCTTTGGCTTCCAGCCTAAGATGCATCGTCTGCGTCTTGTTCATAACTTCCTCTGGTACCTGATTTACGGGCATCCGGGCAACGACTCCGCTGACTTCCAGTCCATCGCTCAAACGCCAACAGACGTGAGGTGCTCCGATCCTGACGCCAAACATCCGAAAGAGTCCACAAAGAAAAACAGACAAACACGGCCATCTGAAAAAGCCGCCTCTGGCTCTGCGGACCAACAAACGGCAGATTCTACAGAGTCCAACCTGGTTTTGACGTTAACATCGGGTGATGAAGAGGAGGTGAAGGATAAAGCAACACCTGCACACTCTCAGTCTGACTTGAAAGGTGAGACAGCATCATGTGTGGGAACTCCCCTGTAGTAAAAGGTTTGGGCTTGTTTCTTTGAGTTCTGCATACTGTTATTTATCACTGCACATGGGGGCTTGAATGCATATTATAGTTTATTATGTGGACAAGAGTTTATCTTTTAGGGTAGGACTGTTTTCTCCCCCCCATCCAACCACCCTGATTGTTCTACGATATTCTCCCCGTCTCTGATAGTGTACGCCGATGAAGACTCCTGGAAGAAATTCATGCCTCCTGTCCGAGTACACAAGGAGTTCACCAGCGGCTGGGCGATGGTCGGAGACCTGCTCCACTGCCTTCCTCTCTCCATCTTCATTCAAGTCATTCAGATCAACTATCAGGTGAGAAGACGAACCGTGTTTGGGTTTTTGGAGGACAGACGACAGAAAATTGATTTTTAAAGGCAAATACAATAACGATAAGTTTGGAGCAGGAAAAAGATGATTAATCTGCAATGCAATTACATCGTGAAATTGTTCTATTTATTTACAATTAGCAATGCGCTCTTCTGTGGTTTATGCCTGGCCAGGATTACTTCTGTTGCGCGCCTCGTTAAATTGTTCAATGCGACTCTTACAAGCTATTAATGTCGGTGAATGTTCCCGGAGAGAAGAGGATGAAGAAAGAAACATGCAGAACATAAAACCACATTTGCTGCCTTGTGTCCACAGGTGGATGGACTGGAGGACTATCTCAACGATCATGTGAAGCAACACCATCTTGTTAGAGCGCTGCCCGCCAGAATGAGAAGACAGCTGCTTTACAAACGGTGACTTTCTCTCTGTCTCTCTCTCTCTCTCGCTCTCTCTGTGTGCATCGTAACTGTTTATTCTAAATGGAGTATTTGTGGGTTCTCTACGTCAGGAGATACATCTTCTCTTTCCATGAGAACCTGCAGAAGTTGGTCTACATGGGTCTGCTGCAGTTTGGTCCTGTGGAGAAGTTCAAGGAGAAAGACCAGGTACACAGAAACAAGTCAGCGGCGTCAGCGCTACAGAAACACTCCACAGGAAGACAAGATGTTTGGTGTTGAAGTAGTGAATTCAGAACATGCTAATTTGAACATTTTTAAGTGGTTACAGCATGTGCTGTTTTTTCTAATTTTACTGCAAACCAACATAGAGCAGCTATACAAACATACAAGTATAGAAGTAACTTCAAACAATACAAAATTGAAGAGGGCTTAATTTCACACCAGATGTTTGTCCAACAGTAGTTTAAGGAATCAATAGCAATGTTTTCATTCACATACTTTTATGCACATTACATTAGAAAAGTTGAGTGGGAACAGAAAAATTATATAAATCTTCCTTAATTGCACAAAGAAGTTTCTTACGCTCGCTTGAGGGGGAAACGCCTTTGTCGAATAAATGTTGACACAGCGAACATTTAGCACATGATTCATCTGCTTTTTCTGCAATTAATGTCTTTCTGAAGACATATTTTGATATTGTCTTCGTGACCGGACAACGTGAAATATGGCCAATTTCAGCTGACATGAAAGAACAATTAAAACGTAGACCGACCATTTGGTGGAAACGCGCCTAATTCGCATTCCTATTTTTTTGGAGAACATTTCTCTTCGGCTAAAAGGGAACAATGAGCTGACTCTGGAAAATGTATAGATCAAAATGAAGTAAATTCTCTTTTCATGCGTGTCATATTTTTTCCTCCACATCTGCTCTGATCCAGGTGTTTGTGTACCTGAGGCGCAATGCCACCATTGTCGACACCACCAGCGCTGAGCCTCACTACTGGCTGGTCACCGAGTCAACTGACAAACCGTTTGAGAGGCGCCAGTACACTTTTAACACCGTCGAAGACGTAGAAAACTACTGGTTTGACCTGATGTGTGTCTGCCTCAATACACCACTGGGTACATGCACACACTCTGGCACACAAAAGCAGAATCACTCACAGCACTGGTAACCATATGGAAAAATATAATTTTCAATTTGTGTTTTCAGTTTGTATGTTTCTTTTCATGTTTATTTTATTTTTTTTTCTTACTGGTATGTCGTATATTTTGTTCTTATTATAAATGCTTCTATTGTTTCTGTTTTTAACATGTAAAGTGTCTTTGAGTGCCTTTTTAAAGCGCTATATAAATAAAATGTATTATTAATAATTTACAAGATGTGCCCATCTCTCTTTGTTTGCATTTTTTAGGGGTAATCCGCAGTAAGAGAAACACGGATGAAGAAACGGCTCCTTCCTTTGTGCATGAACGCAACGTGTTTGCGGGGTTAGCATACCTGCTAAAGTAAGTGGAGCCTCTGTAAGACAAAGCAGTTTTATTTTTAAGTTCTGATCTAAAATAACTGAGTTGGAGCAGTTCTCTGGGTGTTTGTTCCCGATATGTGGTGCTTAACAACTGAAGCTGCTTCTACATATGTAGTTGTGACGATCTGAGAGGTCTGGACGGTTCATAACCGAGAAGCACAAATGTGTTTTGGCCGAAACCATTAAGTTCTTCGATTAGTTTAAACTTGTTATTGACCAGAGTTCAACAAAATAAAGTTCAACATCTAACCAGAAGTGCTAAAAGAGGGAAAGTGCAGAGTAATGTAAAGAGTATACATAGAGTGATCAGTAATATATAGACCCGTTAAGAGCAGTGAGTGAGGAGTCAGCAGTCAATCAATGTAAGCATCAAACGGGCAATAAAATGTGTTTTAAGAAAGTGTGAGTCACTGCAACCACGAGAGGTCGTTGAGCATGGTAGACATAAATGAGCACCCAAAAATATTGTGCAGTGTGCGAGATTAGCCGTGGACAGACTCAGAGATGCACGCACAAACTCTCCCCTCACACGACAAGTGATAGTAACGTTACCAGGACACAACATGAAGCAAAACACGTTGACAAAGAAGAGGTTGGAGCAGCGTATCATCACCAGTGTGTAGCATTGATGTGTAATTGTATCTGTACACACACACACACACACACACACACACGTACGTAGGGGCTGTCGTGAAGCGTGTGACGACTGGTCGATACCAGGAGACGGTAAAGGAGCCGGAGGTCTGGACTCTGAATTCTTTGCTCATCTTAAACGCAACTGGCTGTGGACCAATCACCTTCTCGCTGTCAAAACGGTAAGTAACGGTGTGTTTGTGCATGAAGTGGGAGACTCCAGCATATTGAACGTGGCCTCATGTTTGTGCACATTTTGTCTGTTGGCTTTTTGTTTTTAGGCCCCGAGTGGTTTGGCGGCGAAGGAGAATAAAATCAGACTGAAGAGCCTCTTGACTAAAAATGCTCTCAGGATTGCACTTAAAGCTGGTGAGTTACTGCTTGAAACTAAACTAATTTTTCTTTTAAAGACGCCCTGTGTTGAATCATGACATGGCTTAATTCAGCGTGAACAATAACGGGAGAAAGAATATGAGTCTTATATATGAATCTCACCCCACGTTTAGACCACAAGGGTGTCGACGCGTTTTGTACTCGCTTGTCTCATGTTGTGGATACGTTCTCATTTTAGTCCGTGCTGATGTCGGCTTTGAGCAGACTCGTATCTCAGCTGCATCTCTCGGGCGTAACCACGACCTGAAGTGTTTGTATACACGAGCTTGATGCCAAATAAAACACTACAACTTAACTACACTTTACTCTTTGGCTGCCACTTTGCTGCTCCACACTTTGAAATGCTCAGACAGACGCTTCAGTATTGTGGTCTTTGTGTTGCTTTTTTTTAAAGCCCAAGTCAGTGTTGTAAGAATCTGATGTCCTTCAAAAAAACTTAACTGTCACAGTTTAATGAATAAAGTACTTTCTATGTGTCTGTGTGTAACAGGAGGAACTGCTACACCTCGTTACGTGACTGGCAAGAGACCACAGATAACAGAAACTGTGGAGGTATGAGTTCAATTGGTTCTATTTTATTACTGTTATATTATCCGTATATACACCTAGTTGCCAGTGTATTAGGTACCCGTAGTCTAATACAACTGTCCTGTAAAAGATCCTACATGAAGGTTATAATGTTCCATTATTGTTGTTATAGAGGTGTTGATTCTATGTGATTATTTTGGAGGTTGTAGTTTGTGGTGCTGTTGACTAAACCTCATTGGCATGAATGGGATGGACAGAATAATAGAAATGCCCCGTCTCAAAACGGTGTCGGTATGTGAGATTGACACACTTGACTGATTCCTACATCTAGTTCAGACTCTGAGAGCAAAGAGTTCAGGCTACAAACAATACGAACTGTTGTTTTCTAACCAGGTGGATATTGAGCCTGCTTCCAGAAACCAGCGGGTGGTCGGAGGAAAGAAACAGAAGAGGAAGAGAAGCAAAAAGGAGGTCGTCAAGGCCTCGCGCAAGAAGAAGAAGGGTACATTATGAGCATTAAAAATGGACTGAAGGCGGACAGCTTACAGATAGTGTGCCTGTCTGATTGCCTGTTTCTTTGTTTTTCTATTTGCCTTTAAAGAGCCCAAGAAACGCACCCCTGCCCACGACGAGGCGGACCACCGAGCCTTAAAAATGATGACCAGACAGAGAGTCTACTGGTCTGTACAGGAAGACTCACTGATGATGCTCTGCAGTGTGGCCACACACCTGCTCAACAGCAAAGTACGCACACACAAATGCATGAAGTAGTGTTTGCTTTAATGGTGGTTCCCTTCAAACAAAATAGTTCCTCCTTGTTAACGGCCTCTTTACCCATCGCATAGGCCTTTGTCTGCTGTTAATGAGGAAATAGACCACTCCCTCTTATTGCATTTGAATAATTTGTAGAGGTAAAGTTATCTTGTACTTAAAAAATGGCAATAGCAAACGTATTATTTTCCTGATTCCTATCCTCCCAAGATAAATCTGAGGGGTCACAAGATGATTCAATCGCAAGAAAAATTGATATTTGCTGCAAAATGTTTAGTTTACGTTCTCTCTGTTTTCCTCATTTTGGCAATTTTTTTTTTTTGTTAAATATTGGATAGTTGCTGCCCTGTAAAAACCATTCATGCCCAAAACATCACGTTTTCATCAGCCGAGTTTCCAGCTTTTTGACGATGCATTTTTCAGCTAATTTATTGTCTTTAAATGGTTTATTTAGCTTAAAACGTCTAAAAAAAACCAACTATTTTTATAATAACAATGTGTAAACGACGCAAAATGGGCCACTCCTAGTGATGAACCTACCGCGAATTATCCGCTGAATCTGCAGCTTCCCAATTTTTCTTTTTTAAAGAATTCTGACATGAACAGTTAAATCATATTTTGAACGTACAAGAATGGTTTAACTTTTTGATTTAACAAATCAATTCAAAGTTAGGATCAGCTGTTTGTACTTGTTTCAATGTATTGTTCACGTGTTGCAGTTAAAAAGGCCATACGTACCTTACTGCGTGGTGAGAGACCTGCTCCACGCAGAGTTTGAGATATCGATGGATAAAACATCTGTCGCTGTCGGCCGTCGCACGCGATACATCCTGAAAAACCCTCAGACACTTCTGAACTACAGGTAGGCACTAATAAAGGAAACACACATTTACTAAACGTAAACCTGCAGTTTGATTCATCAGCTGTGTGTTTCAGGATCTGCCTGGCTGAGGTGTACCAGGACAAACCTCTGATGAAGCTGTTGGAGTCGAAGAAACCTACTGCTCCAAACAATCCAGATGTGCGTTGTTTTTGTTTTGTTGTCAATATTGTCTGATATTGTTTTTTTTGTGTCTGAAAGCTTGAAGTTCACTTATTGCTATTTCCTTGATAATATTTCTGCCTGTGTTGTTTCAGGATTGTGGTAAATCGTTCTCTGAGTATGCCAGGCTGCTCAGACAGAAGTTCAGCGCTGTTCTTCTGAGCACTCGGGATGTGATCATGCCGGACACAAAACGTCAGCTCTTCTCTCGGTAAGAAGAGGAAGAGGAGGTTTGATGTGCTCACTCTAAACCGGCGGCGATGGCCGGAACAAGAAAGCTGAGCGCAGGATGTGATGTAACGCTGTATCTGTGTGTTACAGGTTCAAGGTTTCGGCAATAGAGAGTAGGAAGCAGGTGTCGTGGAAAGACACTCTCAACTGGTGAGGATTCAATTAGACTTTCTTCTACTTAATACATTTTAACTGTTATGGTGGTAGTTGATTGTTTGTTTTCTGTCAATTGCAGCTCAGACGACATTCATGCCATAGTGTTGCATAACGTGATCCAGAGCACTCTGGCCATGACCAACTGTCAGATGAAGTCGTCCAGATCCTTTCAGGTACGGCCATCTTTAATTTTACTTCCTCTTGTTCGTTAAAGGTGCAGTTAGCGATTCTACTCCAATTTTTTGTCAAATCTCCCTGCAGTCCGCTGGCGGTCCTTCTGAAAGACAATTCTGGTGTTCAAACACAGCCCTGGCTCTGTAAATAGGAAACAGACAAACAAAGCGGCTCGGACCCAAGCGGCAATCTGTGGCTTTAAGAAATGAAGCAAATGTGGAAGCAACAAAAACAGTTCCTCAAATGGTCACTTGGCTCCAAAAGCAAGTCAATCCCCAAAGACCCCCCTGTTAAAATGCCCAACTTTACAGCAGAAATAAACACGTTTTCAGCCTTTTACAAAAAATGTTTTTGCTCTCAATAGCTAATATTCCGGTTCATAAACAGTTTATTTAACTCACTCGTCTAAATTATATTTAGGCTTAAAGTTGGGTATAATTGAGGGTTTGGCGGCTTTGAGTGACAGGCGTCACCCGGGTCTGCCTCAGCTACACCGACGATCAACCTCTGACCGGAGGTCGGGCTTCCGCGACGACGCGGTTATTAGCTGTAATCGTCGTATTAGCGGCGGCAGTTAGCTAGCCAGTGGGGCACACATACTGGGACTCACATGCACTAACACGCATGCACGGCTACCAAAAATAAATAACAACACAAGCATTGGGAGACGACTTCATTCTCTGCTCAGGTAGATTTTACTCCACTGTATCTTTAAATAGCAAAGAGTTGATTGCTGCTATATTAATGCTCTGAATTTAAATGTAGCACACAAATAAACTGTGTAGCACATTTCACGAGCACAGCACTACAAAGAGCTTCTCATAGACGTAATAAGTGTGAAACCACCATTAAATATGAATAAATAAGACAAGTGAGTCATGAGCTGCTTTTTAAAGTTATCCATTTCTCACTCTCCTTTCATCAGACACTCTTAGGTAGAAAACACACACACACACACCTCTGACTGACCACCTGTCCTCTTTCTTAGACCTTCCACATGTACAGTAAGTATAACCAGGAGCTGCTGTGCCAAGTGTTCATACAATGCAGGAAGAGGGGTCTGGTCAACCGCCGGCGTATCAATCAGCCGTTTGGGCCCAAGAAGAACCGAGCGCTGCCCATCCTGCCCATGTCCTACCAGCTGTCCCAGTCCTACTACAGGTACAAAGATCACTGTGAATACTCAGTTTACTTGTACTAGTACACATCATCTCACGAGGTGCATCTGGTGTCAACCACCTAATTGTAATGAACTTAATGGCAGCCAAATATAATACACAAATTAAGATTTCTGTTTTAACTTGCTTCTTTAATTTTTGTATTAGTTCCCCTACATTCCTATTTAAATTACCTATTTATTTATTTTATTTTACATTTTTCAATTTCATTTCTATTTTTTAATTCTATTTTTAAATATTTATATAAATTTTTTTTAAATTTTTTTTATGCATTATTTTCCGTTTTGTCTTTAGCATGTAAAGAATCACATTGCTGTTCTTAAGATACCTTAAAGGAACTGCTTATCTTCTGATGTCATTCCTGAGTTTAGTTTCCTGTGAACATTTGGTGAGACGACCGTCTTGAACCATCTGATGTCTCAATATTTAAATCGTTGCCACACTATGTTACTGCTTGATTGCAAAGCTCATTGACCACGCCTCTCCCACTCCTTCCCGACAGGTGTTTCTCCTGGCGCTTTCCTCACTTGCTGTGCACGGATTCCTTCCGCTTCTTGAGGAATCTGATCAACAACGGGACGGGAGACGGCACACCCGTTGTTGAGTTCTACCATGAAACCGAGAACCGGTCGGAGAGCGGCGAGGAAGTGTTGGAGAGAAGAGCGGGGTCGGAGAAGAAAAAAAGACAAAGGAAGGAAGACGGACGAAGACCAGTGAGTGAACCAGACGTACAAGCAGACACAGCAAACAGTGCCTCCACAAAGGAAGGAGAGAACGACCAAAGTAACACGGAAGGAGAGGAGAAGTTGATGGAGGTGAACAATGAGAAAACAGAGGCGGCGAGCAAAGCAGACGAACGGACAAACCCAGAAGATTGCCTCACAGCTGGTTCTGGTGAAGATCAACCCAGCAGAGAGCAGACAGACGATCATCTGCCCAAAGAAGAGGAGCCTCCAGATGTGTCGGAGATGCTGCGGTTCTCCATCGACTCTCCAGGTGGAGCCTGTTTGGTGTCTCTCAGCCTGATGTCTCTGGGACTGCTCAGTGTCTACATGTCCATACCGAAACAGATGGTGGTGGTGGACAGCAACCTGGTGGACAACGATGTAGTCAAGAGGTGAGTCCAAATCCGTCACTGTTTGTCCAGAGTAACGGGAACACTGAAGAGAAGCTGCTAAGAGCACCACTGATGACAAAGTGAGACAATGAAAACACTTCAGTGAGCTTATTTAGCTCTATTGTTTATTGTATGCTCTATTGTTGATTTCAGTGATGCTTTATTGTTATTGTTAACTTATTAAATGTCTCCTGAAGTGTTCGCTGAGATTGATTCACCAGCCAATGGAAACACTGTTGAAGATATAACAATGTTGAGGTAAGCATTTGTTTTCCAGTATGGCAGCTCTGGATGACGAGGACGATGACGATGACGATGGTGAGGAGTGTGACGGGAGGAAAAAATTAGAAGTGAAGGCACATCAAGCGTCTCACACCAACTACCTGATGATGCGCGGATACTGCTGTCCTGGCATAGGTAGAGTTTACATTTTTTACTTGTACATACATGTTTACATGTATAGCGCACGCTTTTTTCTCACTCTGGTGGATGGCAGAAAGTAAAGTTTATTTTATCAGCAAAATCACTTGAATCACTTTGGATTAAACAAAGAGGAGAAAAATAATTAGGCAACAACAACTTTTTGTGAAATGTTTAGTTTAGGACCGTAGCAAATGAAATGGTGAAACATATTAAACAATGATTACATTTATTGTGTTTAAAAGTGTTTCTTAAGTTACTTTAAAGTTCACAATCACAAGTGTCTCAATACGCTTTACGCTTTTAGAAAAAGACAATAGTAGATGTTAAACATATTGAAACGAGCAATGGATTGGTTGAAGAGTAGGTAGAATTTTATTTGTATTTATTTGATTGAAGCCCTAATTAATTGATTAGTCTGCTGTCATTGTTCGAGCAAAAATGCCAACCAATCTCTTTTTTTTACTCCTTAAATGTGAAGATTCTCTGTTTTTATGTCATAAATTTAACATTTTTGTGTTACGGTGTGTTTTGTGTAAAAACTTAAAGATAGATTAGTCGGTAAAGAAAATACTAGTCAGCTGGAGCCCTATTCAGATTTATATAATTGAGATTTTGCTTTGTTTCTAGTCAAAATACGTAACCTCAACACCAGTGACAACATCGTGGTGGAGTCGTGTTTTATAAGCTTGCGGCTGCGCAACACACCCGCTCACCACCTGTTCAGTACGGAGAGTAAGTATCAATGCATGTAACACACATACAAACACCGTTTCATCTGCAGGAATAACTCTTTATTTTCCTTTTTCCTTGGTTTTTAGGCTCCCCACCGCTGGACTTGACTAAATGCGGTCCATCCCTGCTGCCCTCCGTCCTCACCTACTTCACCCGTTCCCCCTCCTCGTGCTCTCCCAACAGTGTGAAGGAGTGTGACAGGCGTTTGATTCAGCAGAGAGGATACACTCCTCATGACATCAAAGCATGTGCTCAGCTCAGGAGGAGCTTAAATGCTGCTGGTGTGAATGGCTTGGACATACGGGACCTCTACCACAACCACACACACCTGGAGGAGCCATGGTTTGGACGCACCAGGAGCCTGCAGCAGTACATGGAGGTAAACGCATGTATAACGCAGGGATAGCTTACTCCAAAATCATAAATGCATATGTTTCCCCTTACCTGTAGTAATACTTATCAATCTAGATTGTTGTGGTTTGAGTTGCGGTAGAGATATCTGTCTTCTCTCCGATGTAATGGAAGTAGATGGCGCTCGGCTTGTGGTGCCATCTAGGTAAACATTAATGGTGTCCTCCTCGGCCAAGCTGTAACATTAGCTAGCTCAGTTGAGCCTCTGCGAATAGATGAACGGCTCCTTCTGTGCGGTCCAAGTGTGGTCGCTTCTGGCTCCAAAAAAAACAAGATGGCGGCAGCTGAACTCGAGGCAACTGAACTCGAGGCTTCAAAACGATAGCCCACACTTTGCTCATCTTTTTGTTTTTGGAAAAGACACCACTCGAACTCTAAAAATTCCCTTTGCATGTTGAGGAATCCAGAGCCTAGTTACAGTCAGTCTTGTATAACTGCAGTTTGGTGAGGGGTTTAGCGAACAATTGGTTTTCCTTGTTTCTTCTTCTTCTGTTTCTGCCCGATCTGTATTTTTCCATTTCTGCTCCAGGAGTTACAAGAAGATGGCCAGGTGATAAAAGTCGGGGGTTTGGGCGTCCGTTGGGTGCTCATGCAGCACGCTGATCCGTGGTTGCTGACTGTGAACTCCAAGCAGTGGTCCCAGTCCCGCTTCTCATCCGAAAGACACCCGTTTTTGGAGAAAGTCCACAACATCCCCTTCATGCGCAAGAGACCCAAGCTAAAAGTCCGACCGGAGGCCGAGGAACCGCCTGCGAAGAAAACGGTTTTGGTCGAACAAGAAGGCGAGGACAGACGGGACTTGGGGGGAATGTCGAGTGACGCAACTAAAGAGCAACTGAATGAGGAAGAACAGCTGGAAAAGCAGAAGGAGCAGCCAGGTGAGGGGAGCGGAGACAAATCGTTGAACCTGGAGGAGGAGGAGGAGGAGGAGGAGGAGGAGGGAGGAAAGCTGATGAAGCCCGAAGAGGACAGAGAGCAGGAGACGGTGGAAACTGAGGGAAGATGGGAAGAAAAGAAAGATCATAGAATTCGAACGAGGAGTATCGACAGAAGAGAGGAAGAAGCGTGCGCTCTACCAACGAGACCAGCTGGTGTTGATCATGAGTAAGTGCAGACTATGACTGATTATCTAATCGCAGTTAAAGAGGCGTGTCCCTTTTCTTGTGCGTCATCTCTTTCTCCTCTATTCCACACAGGGAAAATGTGAGCTTCATCAGCCGGCCGTGGCGCATGGTTGACGGCAATCTGAACCGGCAGGTGTGTAAGGGCATGCTGGAGGCCATTATGTACCACATCATGTTCCGGCCGGGACTCACGCAGCAGACTCTGGTGGAACATTACAAAGACGTGTTGCAGCCAATGGCGGTGCTCGACCTGGTGCAGGTAAACGGAAACACTATCGCGTGATGCTCATTGGTACGTTAGGTTGTTTCACATCGGCTGATAAACCCGTCTCCGGTGAGAGCCATGAAGCTTTGGGAAGCTTCATGGCTCAAGTAATGCATTTTATTCATAAGTGATTTATATAGTCCAGATCTACCCTTGAAATAAAGCTTTTTTCTTTTTTAATACACTGTCCTCATTGTCTCCTCCCCAGGCGCTCATAGACATGGGCTGTGTGACGAAGAAAACTATGTTTAAAGCTTCTAAACCCTCACTGTTCGCCCGCTCCGTGCTCCAGACGAGCCCGGACACGAAAGTGAAGGTTGAGGATCCGGGTCAGGTGTTCTACGAGCCCACCATCAGCTGCTGCCTGCGGCTCAGTCAGGTGTTACCCAACGAACGCCACTGGAACTATTGCATACCGTGAAAGGCAGACCGTATCTGGTATCACACATTCTGTGAAGGCTTTTGGAGTTTAAGTTAAAAGTTGTTACAAGCCTAAATAATGTCATTTAATGTTTCATGTCATCAGGTTCTTTGACAGATTTTACTTCTGGTTTTACAGAACGAGGATTTCTTTTTCCATTTTTTCTCTATAGATTTTTTTATTTGTTTTTCTCAGAATTTGAATAATTAAAAAGTAATTCTAAGACAGAAAAGTATGTGTTCCTTTTTTTTGTATGCTAAATAACTTTTTAAATTATTAATAAAAGTGCATTGCATTACATTCTTGACCTGTACTTGTCAGTGTTCATGTGTGTTCTGTTGTTAGTGAATTGCTATCGCACTGCTCAGACTCCCCGAGAAGGCTAATGCCAGCCGTGCTGCTAAAGTAGCCTCTGTGTGAGTGTTGGGCTTCAGATTCAGAAATTGTTGTTTTTGTAGTCAGGAAGCCTAATTTAGCGGTTCAGTTGGTTTTGTAATCTCTGATGTACAGTAACCTCCAATTTCCTGAACACTGGAGTAAGTTGAAGTCGGTCTGTATGACACCTCTTTCTGTTCAGATTGTGTCGCTCTGCTGCTCTTTTCTGAGCAAAAACCAAGTTTAAAATAATAATAATAATAATGCAGTTGGTAGGGTACAAGCACTATGAGAGACTTGTTGTACTATAACGAGCCCAGTATTCATGGGAGGGCCCTCAGGAAACTGAGTGATAAAGATCACCGGGAAGTTGAGGAATGTTTGCTTTCAGTTCTGCACTCCGAACTGTTTCCACATTAATTATATCAGAACAAAACTTCCTCTACATTGTCTTCCTGAAGTACCCAACTTTCAGTTTAGCCCACCTTACAGGCCTGCAGATATGGTGTGCCGGATCAGTCGTTCTGACCGTGTGGTAACTTGGTAGTTACTAGTTAGTGGTGGTAGGTCAATAGGTTAATAGGGTTAGGGTTAGAAATAGAATAGAGTTTTGCTTGTCGGACTCAAACCATTAAACACAATAGCAACATTTTTACTTTCTTTATTTGACCGTGCACATGGAGTTCATGTTCTAGGTATAGATTTGTATTTAGTGGATTATTTCTCTAATGTGAAAAATTATATATTTTCCAGTATGTGTTATGATTTCTTGATTATGTCAATGTGTTCCTTGAATGGTTGACTGCACTGATCTGAAACTAAATGAATTGTATTTCTTTATTAGGGTTCAATGAGAAGAGTCGGGGCAGTCAGTAGAGTAAAGATAATAGAGGCAGCACTCTGATTGTGTAAAGTCCCTTTGAAATGAGTCTGGTGTCTGGAGAACGGGATGTATAAACCTGGACCGTCTCTGGAGATCTGTACAATGCCACACTTTCACTTTCATGAGACTATGAAGACGACATAAGAGAGAAGGAGCGGATGTGTGGTGTAAAAACAGGCTGCGCTGCCAAACATTGTTCGACTGCAATAGAAAACCCATAAAAACAGCAGAGCGGACTCATTCACTCTCTGACCACCTTTGGGTTTTATGTTGGGACGGTTATTATTTTTTAACTGACAAAAAAAATAACTTGGGATAATGTTTTTCCGTTTTATTCTTTTGGTTGTTTCTTCGATGAGTTTCCTGCGCAGTGTGTCCAGTTGTGGTGAGTGAAGAGTTTTCCATCTGGTTTCTCTTTATAAACTAGATTTCCTGTGATGATCTGTACTGGTTGTTTAAAAAAGAAATACTTTTGCTGTTGAATTTTGGTGATGCACACTCAGAAACACCTTTACCTTTCACGACGTACTTGAATATGAAAGTATTTTCTCGTGTTTTCTAATATTTTATGATTTCTGTCCAGTGCCTTTATTATTAAATCACATTTGACTTATGATTCCTTTGGACATTCATCATTTTGTATTGTTGTTATTAATTAGTTGTGGCCCTATTCTCTGGAAGTGTCTGCCTTAGAATCTGAGGGGATCCATCTACGCTGTGAACATTATTAAAAGAAAGCTGACATGTCTTTTTAGTCTGAATTTAAGGTGCTTCGTCATCTGTTGCCTTTAAGTCTTAATCACTGGTTTCATGCTATTTTTTAGTCCTTGTGTTTATTTATTCTCGTGCCTCGAGAATTCTCAATTATTTTTAAAATGTTATCGCTCATTGTACATTTTATATAAATACCTTGAATAAATAAAGGCATATAGGCTAAAACTTAACTGCATCATCTAATATTAGTGTATGAAAGTTTACTTTTTGTATGGAAAATGCTTTAAAAGTGTATCTGAATGTTAATGTCACATGAAGCTGTTTAAAACCACCACCTTGTCTGTGTTACAGAGGAAAGCTGTACAGATAAACCAGTATTCACTCCGTCCAGACTGGTGGTGAAGTTCGGTGACCCGACCTTTGCCACCTGCTCTGTGTGTCAGCATGATTGCATCAACAACTTATATAAATTGGAAAGCCCTGTTGGAAACCAGACGATGAACGGAACCACGATTTCATGGACAGTTGACAGACTGACCGAGTGGCACACATCTCCCATCTGCTTTTATAATAACAAGACGAATTACCAGTGT